TTTCATTCCTTGACAATGGCTTCGAGTGAGAGTCCGAAACGTCGGGCAAATACGCTACTGGTCCCAGAGAGCGTCTTCCTGCCCTCTATACAATGAACTATCCGGCAGTGCTGTCAGTGGAAGTTCTTTGGGAGTGCAAAACGCTTTCGGAGGAGGGACTTGTGGTAGAGCCACAGCAGAACTGTAATTAGTCCCGCGTTCTCTCACTTCGGACACCGGCCCCCTCGCGTGTGGTTGAGCACTCGTCTGACTGTCAACTTTCTCCAATCTATTCTCCACTACCTCTGCACAGAATACATCATTCCTCTCATCTGGCGTCTTAATTATTCTCTTCCCACACAGAACCAGGGCCTGAAGATCGCAGCGGCGAGGGTTTAACTTATTAACTTTGGCCAATGTGATACCTCTCCAAGCAACTGAAAAAGTGTTTAATAAGTAGGTTCCAGGTATCAGTAAAAGTACAGACACGTAGTATGCTGAAAGTCTGTTGCTATAGGACGCAAATGAGAGATCTTTGGCTCACGTTTAAGCCACACATGCTTTCTATGGAAATACCAGAATCGTTCTTTTTGCACAATTACTATAAGAACAGCAGCTGACACCCCCGATAACCTCAAAGCGAGATCAAAATATCAAGGATGATATAAAAGGGTTTCAACAGTGTTATTAAATTGTGGAGTAGCCTTCAGGGGATAACAATCTTATGTCTTAACATGATGTACCGACGAGTTTAAACCAGCCAGAGAGGAGAAAAAGAAATACTTGTCTCTAGAAATTGCAGTATGCATGCGGGTTAGATAATAAAAATGGAGTTCCTTCAGACTGTTCACCTTTTATGCCGTTTGTAGGTTAGGGATCACAAAAACTTATTTCCATAACAATATTTGATTATTTTCCGCAGGTCCTTGGAAAAAAATGATTGGAGGGATATGCGTAACCTTCCTCCCTTCGACAAAGGGCCAGGAACGCGCTGTATTTGATCAACATAGAGTCTAGATTAGGTCATGGAATAAATGATATAATGGCACGCCTAGATACAAGCTCACGCCGAGCTAACCATCTGCGCATAATCGCTATATCGGACAATGAACTAGTGTCCGGGAAAGTGAAGAGAGGGTGAGTGAATTCGACTCTGGGACTGCATTCCTACGTGTTCTGCGTATACTGCTTATTATTAACAATCTGATGCGCTGTTCAACCATTATGGTTAGTTAAAAGTCGCGGCTTAAAAGGCAGCCGGCTAACGCGAAAATTCTTTCCTCTCAGGACAGAGAGTTGGGCTACAATAGTTTCTTAGTAGGCCACGCCCAATTAGATGGAGTCCTAACCTTTCACATTCTTTTTTCGTGAGAAACTAGTCCAGTCTTGTGTAGGCGGCTTTTTTGACCTTTTCTGTCAAACTGACCTATCCCACCTCCGGTATTCTTCACTCTGTCTGGACACTAGACTAGAGTGGATGGGGGATATGCTAGGCAGGCCTAAAGTGGGACACATGATGGACACCTTCGTTAATGACAGCAGAAATGTCAATACACCAACAGGACCAAGACATCTTGGTTAGTTAACTTTGGAAACGGCCAGAGACTTATTTTGGTCGGTGAATATACGTACAACTCCTCAATGACTGAAGGTTATTGTATCTATAATACCAGCCGGCCCAGATGATTAACTTTGCAAAAGAAAAGCCTCTTAAGTTTATTTCACATCTGCCCTATAAGGGAGGTTCTAGCGGTAATTTGTGAGAATAAGGAGGTACTTATTCTTTCTGATTCTCAGAAAAAAGTATTTCCGGACCGTAAAAATATAAGGTCTGAGCGTGAGAGAGGAGCCGATTTCAGAAAAAAAATTCGGAT